GCAAGTCCCCGGAAGGTGACTATAAAAAATGGTGATGAACATACAAGAGTTATCAGAATCAAAACTGATGAAGATGATGATACCCCTTTATCATCAAAAGAAGAAGAATATAGATCATTTGCCAAAATTATTTATGAATTGGAAGAAAATGAATCATATTTTATTGCATTAGGAGATCATGTTTATCCCAGATTAATAATTACCAAGGATGCAGACCCTTTCATGGTTAAAATGGCAGCAGATTATGGATTTTTGGGTTTGATCTATCCAGAAAAAGATTTAAAAGAAATTGAAAAATTTGATGATATATTCAGGACAGAAGTTTCAAAATTTGCCCAAGGAAGATCGATTTATATCAAATTTTATTCAATAAGTCCTGAGGTTGATGGAAGGATATACTATCCTGCTGAACATATTATCATAATTGGATATGTTGGTCGAGATTTCCAGATTGAAGTTGGCCGAAATAATAAATCATTGCCTAAAATCAATAAATTATGGATAAGATCCCGAAAAGTTTTGGGGATGAAAGTTCTTTATAACATTGCAAAGAACTTATGTGATAAAAAATTCAGATACTTATGTCAATATGAAGGATGGACACTCCTTACGAATAATGGAAAAGAAAAATCTACTTTTTGAAAGAATATATCCAGAAATTTGATACTCATCAAATTAATGGAAGTCCTACAACAATCCAAGAATCATGCAGATTGAGGGAGTGCCCCACATGCAGATAAGATTAAAAGATTGATTCTTCAAGATAAAAGATGAATGGAGATAGATAAAAAGGGACCTACCACTACCAAAGCATCTAGTCAGCTGCATATAGAGCCAAAGATGGAGAGGCAATAATAGAGGAAAAGATGCCTCTTTGATGAAAAAGCAAAAAATGCATGTGAAAATGTAGACCTCAGGAGGAAAAGAATAGAGAAGCATGTGAGCCTTTTTCAAATTCTGATGTATGCAATGATATAATAGACCAATAATAGCAAGTTTGAGTCATGTATAAATAGAGGTCTTTGGGGAAAGAATGGATCATCTCGAGTTAGAAACCATTCTCTTTCCTTAAGCTTTCTTCAAAACCAGTTTTTCTGGAAACCCCTTGTATACAATAAAAATCTTGTATAAATCATTATAGCAATAAAATCCCAATGTTTTGATATCAGAAAAATATGAGTTTCTAAACTTCCTATCTCATAGATTCTTGACAGATTAAAGAAGATAATTTCTTCCTTACTTTAACAAAGAGAGAATTTTCTTTACTTAAGATCCTTATTCTTAATTCTAAGAAAAGATACAGTGAGGGCAAGAAACTGAAATAGCAGAATTCCCATTGAGGCAAAAGACCGTTTAAGGGAGCAGTTTGCAAATTCAGAGTCTGAAGGTCACTCGGTTCTAAGAATACAGATTTAAGATCAAAAGTAAGGTAAAATTATTGTCTTTGTTAAATTTAGAAAGAATTCTTTTAATATCTTGAAAGAATCGTAGGGATTATTACTTATCATGTTTGCAAAAACTTATCTATCATGTTATTATTATCATAAAGCTTGTAAGGAATTATCTATATGATGTCAGGCTATAAAATTAAGGGATTAGATAATCTGTTAGAAAGACTATTAGAAAAAATAAAAAGTATCTTTTCTCAACTAGAGACTATGGATATATCATCTAAGGAATATGATAATCTTAAAGAATTATATGACAATTATATTACAGATTATGCTAGTTTATTAGATCAAAGGATGGAACTATATATTAAAAATCGAAATAAGAGAAATAGAAGAATTTTGGAACTATCCCAATAAATCAAGATATTTTGTGCAAAATATGACAAGCCATTTCATTAAGAGTATTATAGATATTTTGGCAAGAATGAATAGTGATAGGCCATTTACAAAAATCCCTCTATTTTTGCTTTGTTGGTTAATGGAACGGAAGTAATTTGAACTTGCAAAGCTAGAAGAACTTATGCCTAAAGAAGTAACAGAAGGTGGGCTGAAGTCAGGGGCAGATGTAGCTTATGGCCAGCTAGGGCGGCCGCCCTAGCTAGCTCCACCGGAACCGTCGAAAAATCAATTTTTTTTCCTTCAGAATTCCAGACGTTCCGGTTCAGTGGCTTCACTGGCTTGGTCGCTTGGGTGTTGCCTGTTGGGCTGTTGGGCACTTGGGCTTCATTTTTTTTAAAATTCGGCCCAATTAAAGATGCCCAAATGACCTGCCTGCTTCACTCCAATATACCCACAATTTACAACCCGAAGCAAAGTTCACGGGCGAAGACGGAGTGACCAAATTGAAGATTCAAGGTTCCCATATTTTCCCCCAAATTTCCACCACCCACCATTACCATTTACCAATCTAGGGCTCTCCCCGACTCCCCATCTTAGCTGTCGCCCGTCAACCGGTCCAGTGGTCCACCACTACCGGCTACCGCAGCCCGCAGGCCCACAGCAGCCAAGCAGCTAGCAGACGCTGCAGCGCCAGCAGTGCCACTCGCCCGCTAGGTCCGCCAAATCGCCACCGCCGAGTCCAGACCGTCAAGCGTTCAGTGAAGCAGGCAGCCTGCACAGCAGTGCAGGTCGCACACTCGCACTCTTCTTCTTCAAAAAATGCAAGATTCTTTTAGACTTTTAGTTATTTGATGAATTGATGTTCGGTGATTCTAATTTGTGATATTGTCATATTGATCTAATTTTCCAAAAATCTTGGATTTCATTTTGGCTGCACTCTCCAGTCCAGGCTCCAGCACTAAAATTTTTCACATTTTTATATATTTTGCAAATTGCAATACTTGTGGGAATTTATTAAAGTGATTATGTGAACTTCGAAGTGAATCTGTGAATGAGTTGAATTTGCAATACATTTTTATATATTTTGCAATACTGATTATGTGAACTTCGAAGTGAATCTGTGAATGAGTTGAAAATGCTATTGTACTGCACTCTACAGCATCCATTGGACAATTTGGACCAGATGTTAATTTATTTTCTTCTTTAATGCTATTGTACTGGATCCTATTGTATTGTTTATTGAGCAAATGAAAATGAAAATTGTTGAATTGTTGATCATCAGTGGAGGGGATTTTTTTTGTTGAATTGTTGATTTTTTAATCAATTGTAATTGAAAATTAAATTGGGGCATTTTGCAGATTATGGAACGATTTTTTCAACCGAAATGAAAGTCTGTACCTAGTTCTCCTAGTTCTAGTTTTGCTTCTAGTCTCGCCACTGCTTCTAGCCGAGCACTCAAGTTATTAAATAGCACAAAGAAGTCTTGGGCTCAATTCAATGTAGATGATCTTATATCTGATCCAGGAAAATGTCCCCCTATCGAGTCATATGATCCTACTGTCAGAGATGATGTTAGGATGGCATATTTGCAAAAAGGTCCTTGTCAGCCACATGGACATGACTTTCCAAGAAGACGGATAGGAAATGATAATAGGTGTTTTCGAAGAGAATGATTTTCTGAATTTTATTGGTTGGAGTACAGTATAGAAAATGATGCGGCTTATTGTTTGCATTGCTACTTATTCAAACCAGATAGAGGGGGTCAAGGGGCATATATTCACTAAGATTGGCTTTAGGGATTGGAAGCACAAAAGTACATTGAAAGATCATGTCGGGCTCATTGATAGTGCTCATAATCAAGCTTTTGCAAAGTGTACCAATTTGATGAATCAAAAGCAAAGTATCTCCCATGTTATTTCTAGCCAAAGTAGTAGTCAACAAAAAAATTATAGGACAAGGTTGACTGTGGTGCTAGACTGTACTAGATTTCTCTTGATGCAAGGATTGTCATCTCGTGGTCATGATGAATCGAAAGAGTCTCTTAATAAAGGAAATCTGATTGAGCTATTAAATTGGTATGCAACTCATCGTAAGAAAATTAATGAAGTACTATTTAGTAATGCTCCCGAAAATGACCAAATGACTTCACCAAGCATCCATAAGGATTTGGTTAATTGTTGTGCTGTAGAGACGACAAGGTCTATGATCAATGAGATGGGCGATTCCTTGTTTTCAATTTTGGTTGATGAGTCTCGTGATAATTCTATAAAAGAACAAATGGCAGTTGTTTTGAGGTTTGTTGACAAAAGTGGACAAGTGAAGGAGCGTTTGTTGGGTATTTTCCACATCGCTGATACTTGTGCCCAATCACTCAAGGATGCCATTGATGCAATGTTTTCTACACATGGGTTGAGCATATCTAGTCTGAGAGGTCAAGGTTATGATGGAGCAAGCAATATGTCAGGTGAGTTCAATGGCTTAAAAGCTTTAATTTTAAGAGAGAACCCATGTGCTATGTATATTCATTGCTTTGCTCACCAACTTCAGTTGGCAGTTGTTTCTGTGGCACACAGGAATGTTATGCTTAGTGATTTATTTAACATGCTTGCTATTATTGTGAATTTGGTTGGTGCATCATGTAAACATGTAGATGCTCTTCTAACAAGTTATCATGTTGAAATTCTGGAGAGGCTTAATATTGAGGAACTTTCTGGTGGAACTGGTCAGTTTCAAGAAATGAGTTTGACACGTCCAGGTGATACTAGATGGGGCTCACATCTAAAGACAGTTACTCGCTTTATTAGTATGTTTAATGTGATCATAGATGTTCTTGAGAATATATCAGAAGACGGCATAAGTTTACAACAAAAATCAATGGCCATCAAACAGATGGACATTATGCAAGATTTTCAATTTGTGTTCAGTCTCCATTTTATGTTTGAAATTATTGCAATTACAGATGACCTTTCACAAGCCTTACAGAAAAAGGATCAGGATATTCATAATGCTATGAGATTATTGAAGTTGTATAAGTACGCATTGCAGAACATGAGAGACAATGGTTGGGATACTTTGTTGAGTAAGGTAATTCAGTTTTGTGTTGATAGACATATTTCAGTGCCCGATATAGATGATATTGTAGTATCGAAAGGTCGACCTAGGCGTGCAAGTCAGCAGGTGACTTATTATCATTGTTTTTATGTTGATTTGTTTTGTTATGTGATAGATTCAATCTTGCAAGAGTTGAATGATCGTTTTTCAGAAACAACTACTAAGCTTTTTACTTGCATTTCGTGTTTAAGTCCAAGAGATTCATTTGCAGCTTTTGATGTATGTAAATTGGTTCGACTTGCTCAGTTATACCCTATGGATTTCAATAGTGAAGAGCTTTTATTACTTAGACCTCAACTTGACAAGTTTCTTATGCTCGTGAGAATGGATGAAGCTTTCTTCAACCTCAAAAGCATATCTTGTGTAGCTCAGAAGTTGGTTGAAACTGGAAGTTCTTGTTATTTTTCATTGGTTTATAGGCTGATCACATTAGTTTTGATATTACCTGTGGCAACTACAAGTGTTGAAAGGGTATTTTCTACTATGAATCTAATCAAGAATGATCTGCGCAACAAAATGGGAGATGAAATGTTGAATGACAATTTGGTAGTTTACATGGAGAGAGATCTTTTTATGAAACTTGAGAATGAGACAATATTGCAACGTTTTCAAAATATGTGACCTCGTAGAATTCAGTTGTCTAAGCTTGCAATTTCAGAGTAAGGTTGTATTTTATATTTTTTTAGCATTTTGGGTTGTATTAAACTATATTTTCATATGTATATATTTTCTAGATTTTAGTGCATTTACATATATATTGAATAATTTATAATATTATTTAATCTAATTTTAATAAACGATCGGCCACCGACCGGACCGAGCTTTTACAATCGTCGATGGTCAATTGTCAAAGTCAACCTCCGCCCTAGCTGAATGTTGATGCTAGATTTGCCACTGGCTGAAGTTGGATGCGATGGAGCCGGAAGTCTGTGGCGCTGCCTGGGAAAGTCCCGCGCAAGTGCGTTGGACCTCAGTGCACCTTTACTGGCAGATCATGTCCATAATTTTAGATATCGATTTCTTTTATTTTTAGGACACATTTGGCCTCCTAAGGCAGGGGTTTTGAAGGATTTTGAGGGCCTATATATAGAAGAAATGGGAAACATCTTCTTTCTTTTTTTCTACAATATTAATTGAGGGTGACTTTCTTATTTTCAAATATTTTCTTGTGTTCTTATAAACTTGACGAATTCTCTTTTAGTTGGGACCAACAACTGACCTAGTTTTCTTTGTTTAATTTAATTTCCATGCTATAACTCAAATTATTATTATTTTTTAAAATTTTATTGTGGATTTAATGATTTTTCATGAATCTAAGCAATTTATGGATTTAATGTGAATGTGTTGTAACCGAGAGGTAAAACACGAATTTAGCACCTACAGTTAAAGTTATGAATTTACATAGGAGGAAGAGATATGCTTTATAATTTGTGCGATCTTGACACGGCTTTCTTGTCGTTGAATGCACTGGGATAGGTTAAAATTCACGTAGAGATATAGAGGACGTACTTATAGATTTATTGAGTTTAGTTGAGAAAATTATCAAATAATTTGGATAAATTCGCTCATCAACTAACTGACATTAATTGTCAGGCGATAGGGGAAGTTAAATGTGGTAAGTACAATTGATTCATGAGTAATAATGCTTTTAAAATCGTCAAGTCTTTCTAAAAACAATAGATTATCGATCTTGTAGACCAGTTCATAATTTTAAATTATGGTGGTAATAGCAGAACTGTTAATTTTTTGCAGGTATTCAAGTAATTAATAGTATTAATCGTGTTAATAAGTATCATGATCTTCCAGCGAATGATACTCAATTTACTCTTATACTACTTGTTGCGATATCTTATACTCATGAAGTTTAATTGAAGAATAAGTTAAAAATAGACAATGTCTATAATAGTTCATCATTAAACAATATCTATAAAGATTACATGGCCCAAAAAAAAAAAAAAAGGACACCACATTGTGAAGAACTTTGTCTGTAGAGACTTTTCTAGACAGAGTGAGTCAACATAATGCAATATTTCTCTCTTTCTGTCTCTCTCTCTTTTCCTCTCTCTCTTCTTTTTATTATTTTTAAAATATACATTAGAGATGGAATTTAGCCCCTGTTTGATCCCCATTAAATTCAATTATATTATATTCCATATTTCTCTCTCCTATTTTCAATTACACAATCTTTCATAAAATAATATTACACGTTAATCGAAAACTTTTTCTTCTTTTTCAACCACTCATTTTTCTAAAAAATACTATTCTCCCCATTTTCATTTTCAGGTAACGGGGGTCAAACGGGGGCTTTATAGACGAAATCTACGGTTGATGAAATTTGAATTTAACCATCTATTCATTGACAACAATGTCATGTAGATGAAAACATTTATGTTTAAATGCCACTTAAGATGGCAATCCAGAGAATGCATTGGAGATGCTATACGTCGATATTGCCTACAAGTAATCATACAAATCATAATCACATAACTCTGTAGAGAACAATGTGAAGACAAGCAACAACAAAACATTTGAAATCCTATAGACACAAGTAAATTTCAAACCATGAATTTCTATATTTAGGGTGATGTTTAATTGCTGCAATGTGATAATGGTCAATAGGATTTGAGATATATGTAGGTTTAGTTCTAAGAAAATTTTAGATTTAATTTTTACCATTTGCTATGTTTAGGTTTGTTAATTTTTTTACTTATGACTATTTATGTTGTTCCGATGATTATATTTTAGTCTTTCAATGTTAAGTTTACCTCTTCTCATTTCTCTAATTTTAAGAGTTACTTTGTTAATGGTGTTTATTGTTATATCTATGCTAATCTTGTTTGTGAAGTAATTTAAGCACTTTAATTGACTATAATTAATTATAAATAAATAGTATAATGAATTTGATGTTCATGAATGTTAATGTCAATTTTGTTTTATATTTGATTTTTCTACCTATGAATGGTTTCTGTACCAATGTTTCTACTCATTTTTGAAGTATATGAAATTAATACGTTTCTTGAAATCAAAATATTTGCACATGATACTTCATGATATTTCAATTAATATTTGCACACTCTCTTTGGTCCCTTTTCAAGCATGCTCTTGCTTTGTTCACCGAACCCATGTGGCATACTCTAGGATCGACTCGAAGAATAGACCACCATCTCTAATACCAATTAATGTAGAGTGTCAGCCCCTCGGGGCACAGCTTAACTGGTGGAACAATTAACATTGGCTTGCTTCCAGCGGCAGGGTGGAGTGTTCGATTCCTGGTGGGAACCTGCGGCCAAAAATTTGGTATGGAGCAATCACTGTGGAGGAGGGTCTCTTGTGTGCAGAAGTGTACAGTCAACGGGGGGAACCTGTGATCCAGTTGAGGCATAATCCGCGATTTACCCCCTCCAAGATTCTAGGGGCATGGGTCTTGGAGGTCCAGAATTTAGTCTGGTGTAAGATGGGATACCTGGATATAAAAAAAAAAAAAATAAAAAAATAATGTAGAGTGTCATCACTTTGTCCTAAAGCTGTAGCTCATTGTACTAATTCAATGCATCCTACATCTCCCAGAACCAAGCGTAAGAATCCACTCCAAGCCTGCTATTTGGGCCCACTTTATGTCAAGCATGCTCTTGCATTAGTTGGAAAACTCAATATGAGTGTATGGAGTACATAAGAGTAAAGAAGAGATTGTTTATAATTGTCAAAGTGCCAAGACTAGCATTTTATATGATTTTGAGCCATGAGTGTATAGTGTATGGTTTTAATTTAACCTCTGGCTTATCTTGATAAGCTCTTCATAGTACAACTGAGTTCTTTAAGAGAAGTTTCATCTTTATTTCTCTAATTTTAACTTGAAATGTACATTCAGCAATGACTGTAAGAGGACAGCTGTTATTAAGTTTCTTGAAGGTCGTTTTCCGTCTTTTCAGGCAAAATATATCCTTCATATTGATAGCATAAGGTTAAAATTGATTCGTTACGTGACGGAATAAATGAGTGCTTGATTAGGGGTTCTCTTTTAATAAAATCCGCAATTATGATTGGTGCTTTAGCATTTCCATTGTTTTCGTCGTCATAAACTGACTTTATGTGCTTGTCTCAGTGCTGCTGCTGTTATTATTTTATTTTTCTTTTTTCTTTTCCCCCCTAAACTTTTTGTTTTACGAGATTGAATTTTCTATAAATGTAGCACATTGATGACCAAATGTAAATATGCAAGGCTTGGTTGAGGCGTCATGGCAAACCGATTTGAGGAATATCAGATTAATGCTCTCAAAATGGCATTTGAGCAATCCCAACACTTGACAAAAAAGAATAAGGCTGAACTGGTGACTGCTACAGGACTGGATGTGGAGCAAATTACTAGCTGGTTCAACAGGAATCGAGCCAAAAAGCGTGTTAGGAAGTCAATAGGGGACTTGGATCAAACCAAGGCTGAGCTTCAACAAGCGCTGCAAGTACTCCAAGAAAGCCAAGAGAGGGAAGCTAAGCTACAAAAAGAGCTTCAAGAAAGAAAAGAGAAGGAAACAGAGCTCAGAGCTGAAAATCAGGATTTGAAACGTCAACTGGCACTGGTTGAAGGAGAATCAGTTGATTCACAGTTTGATTACCTGTGGTCTGCACATGTCCCAGGGTTCAATTCAGGGTTCAACTCAGAGCATTCATCTTTCTAGATCCTAGCTCTTCCAACTTTGTGGGGTAAAAAATATTGGTAGTAATTCTACTGATGTTGCTGTGTACTTATTTAAAAGTATTATAGTTTTGTCGGATGCTGCTTCTATGTTTTTAATCTTGCCTCTTCTTCTGTCTTTCTGATCGAAAAATACCGACAACTTCAAGGTTTTGACACATTGGATGATGTCAAAGTTATAATCATGATATCAATGTTTAGCATTGGGATCTTCGCCAATTTTTGGGGTCTTTTAATAATATTGAGTGTTATCGAATATTCGTTCCAAACATTCTTGCTTTTACATACAGTTCTGTAGAATAATATGAATAATTTTGGAGCTGCCATTCCATATAAGATATTCGGACGCTATTTGTATGCATACATATGCACAAACGATGGGAAATATTTGGCTTTGTGCAGAATCATGGATTCCTTAAGAGTGTTAACGATGTATTTACTTGATTTTATTTATTAGAAAGAAATTTCAGAAGTTAAAACTTTTAATACTTCAATAAATACGACTTGATTAGACAAAAACAGACTCCGAAAACTAGCATTCGAAGTGAGGTGTATCGATTATAGAAGTTTTACAGTTCGATTCTGTACTTCAATTTCTGAAGGGGCATCCATAGAGTACACTGTGTCATTTTGGTACCTAAAGGATAATGAATTTTTCAATGAATACATCTGTACTAAAGTTTTTAGTTTTTTGTGTTTCTTCTTTTTCAGTTTCGCTAGTTTTCAGATAATTTAACCTTTATGCACACAGTGGTTGTGTCGAAAAACTTATAAAATTAACAGTAATTAGTGTCTGGTGTTGCTCTTTCTGCATATGGTGAAGCCTGATTGCCGGTCCATTTATTGCATTATTACTTCAGCAAGTGTACATGGCGACCGTAAAACTAAAATATGACTCGCTTTTGGAGATTTGGTTACAGACTATAACCTTTCTTTGTTTCCTGTACAAACCCAGATTGTGTTGTTTCAAGATTCTATATCCATGTAGTATATTAGAGAGAGGAAAAATTAGAAGGAAAAACGGCAGTGAAAAATCTACTTTTGATCAACAGTACTCCTATTGGACTTATTTTGAATCAGACAAAGTTTTGGGATAGTTTCATCATCATGCGACAGCACGTTTCATTGCTAAATATTTGCTTTCGAAGTCCTAGTTGATCAAATTTTATATAAGTAGTTTTTCTAGTTTACTTTTCAACTTTCAAGAATGTACAAGAACTCAAAATTTATTTTGCATAGAATAGTAATGTATATTATGCTAAACCTTTGTAAATTAAACAGCTCGGTTTAATGGTTTTAGCTAAGTCCAGTTAATCTAAAAATATGAAAGAAACTGCGTTAGGGACGCAGATATGAATGTTAATATGGACACAGATGTTGCTAACTTTAATCAAATTCAGATCGAGATCTTTGCAAAGCCTGCCGAGTCCGGCCATTGACAAGCTCCAAATTATTTGCAGTCTTTGGAATTTTCACCTTCTTGTAAACCGTTGTAAACTAAGGATAAAGACTATCTTTCTCCTAGTTATATATATAATGAGTATTTATATGGATGAGGCTGCACTCTCAGCTGGCTACAAGCAGTGGACAGACATTTCCAACACTGGGGATATGAGAAAAGCTGCCTGTCACACTCCGGCTATGACACACTAATTCACAAATGCAGTCGACACTTTCACAAGTCTGTGAGTTGCATCTTCTAATTAATTAAGGAATAGATGTTGCTTCCCACCATATTGGTAATGTTTTTAAATTCAATTTCTTCATTATCTTGAATGGAACTTTTTAAAATCCTTTTTTTTATTAGAATGACATTTTCACGTATGTTTTATTCTTATATTTATTGCTAAGTAGATGCCAATTTTTGGTTTTACTGCTAAATAACTTTATATTTACGGCGGGACAAGCCATGCCTTCTGAAAGTGATGGAATTCATAATCAAATATTGAATTAAGCCAAGTAACCTGAAAAATTTTGACACCTTGGATGACCTGTGTGGGACCTGTGTGAATATAAATGCAAAAAAATGCTCCCCACCTACCCCTATTGTCGGTGTATGTCAATTAGGGTGTCAAAAAATTTCTGGCACCCTAGCATAATTGTCGAATATTTGTCAGAAAAAATACAAATATTGGGAAATCAAGCTTGCACACCCATATAGACACAAAAGTTACAAATTTAGCCCATGTTTGAATATCATTAAATTACATTCAATTTCTCTATCTCCTATATTCAATCACACAATTTTTCATAAAATATTATTACACGTAAATCGAAAGTTTTCCTTCTTTTTCAGCCACTTATTTTTCAAAAGAAACACCATCCCATCCATTTTCATTTCCAAAAAATGGAGACCAATTGGGAGCTTAATATACCCTTGAAACTTCCAATTGCTTCTTGAATTCATCCTCGTTTTGTTGTCGTTTATCTGAAACTGTATTTGTTTGCTGCTTATTGTTCCTATGTTTTTCTTTCTTGTTTCGCATTCATCAAGGAAGGTTTCAACTTAACCAGATTAAGAACGAAGCTCAAAATAAATTTTTTGAACAATATTGTTTTAATAGAGTTATATTGTAAATTAATGGATATGGCTAAAGTTGTGCTTCTGACGTTTTACTCACAGTTTAGTTCCAGAACATACATGATAACTTTGAAACAAATAAATATATTTTTGTTGCACCAGCCACCAATATTATATAGTTAACAATCTTGGGACTACTAATAATCCAATAAAGGGTAAAAACTCCCAATGAATACGGTGCTTTAAACTTTATTTTCCAATGCCATTGAACTTTAAAATTTTATCCAATAGTATGTATTTTCAAAGTTATTTTCAGGTTTCCATAGATATGACAAAATTTATATGAAGTTCCACGAAAGAAAGGGGAAAATCTATGAGTTACTGTACTGTAATTTATTTTATATTTTTTGAATAATCATTGTACTTTCATAGTTGTTTCCCAGCAAGGTCGTTGAACTTTTAAGGTTGTTGCCCATATGTTACTCCAAAGCGTAGGAAAACTTAACGATTCCATTTGCCAAGTCTTTAAAATGGTTAATTTTTAAGTGGAAGAAGGCCCCCCCGGGGGGGGGGGGGGAAAAAGGGGGAAAGG